CACATGAATATACGGGGCATTGCCTTAGAAGAACCTCGGCAACTATCTTAGTTGATAATGGTGGAGACATTACAACCCTAAAGCGACATGGTGGATGGAAATCTACCAGCGTCGCTGAAGGATACATTGAAGATTCTGTAAACAATAAGAAACAGATAGCGATGAAAATATTAAACCCATTAGAGTATAATGAACCAAGTACATCAAGCGAAACTGTAAATATTGATCCTGAAAATAATTTAATCGAAGACTTTTCTGTTAATAATGGTACAATTGTTAACACTGAAACTGAGAACCTTATTACAAGTAACGTATTCAACGACAGAACTGTAAACTTTGAAAAAAAGACAGCCAGCAGCGCTTTAAATATCAACAACTGTACCATACAAAATTGCACATTTAATATTCATGTTAATAAATAAAGTTTGATGATAGACATGTAGGTAATTTAGATGTTTATTCGTTTAATTCAAATTAAAGAAAAATAATTGTTACATTTGTTTTTTTATTCATGAATAAAGTGGTTAAAACTGTCATGTTTAATTAATCAATAAAATGTATAAAATGTATAAAATAAATAGTATTACCTACCTACTGATTTTATTTTGTGCTGAGATTGAACATCGCGTTATCCGCTATAAATTTTCAAAATTAGTAATTTTTTATATTCACGCTTGAAGAAAAAATAGTATATGTCACTCGGAGTGGAAGGCTCATTATGTGTTTTGCCCAATTTGCTCAGCCTCGGCTAACGCCTCGGCGAGCAAACTTTTGGGCTCAACACATAATGATCGCCTTCTACTCCTAGTAACATAATATACTATTTTTGCTCTAGTTAGATTTGTATACGGCATTTTTATAGGTCCCAATGTGTGGATGACAATATTTTTTAAAGATAAGTGTCGCTTGATATTTAATAAAACGATAAGATAAAATATATTGGACAAATACTTTACCAATTACCTATCAATGCATATCGTAGCAAAATATATCTAGCAATACCCAAATAAAAACTGAATGAAATAAAGTTAATGTCAATAGAATATTAAATAAAATAATTAGTTACATAATTTTAGTGTATCTTTGGAATACGTAGATTTATTGTACTAGTAGGTAAGTACTATATGTTGTAAATGATTTTGCGCAATGCGCATTAGATAAAGAAATCAGGGAATTCCCAGAGTACGACGTTCAAGCAAGAGGTGGTTGTTAACTTTGCTACTTTTTGGTTGAAGTGTGAACATTCAGATGTATGATAGCATAAAAGCATTTTATGTCGAACAGGAAATTATACATTGGGAAACATATTAAATTATTATCGAATGCACTGGACTTTTTCATAGATTTTACGAAAACTAACAGTATTTTTCACTATCTTATATCACGATTTATCTTAGATGTTTTGAAGATTAAAAATCGTAGAAAAGTGACATCACGTTCATGCGGTTGTAATAAATGAACAAAACAAAATGTCAGCTATTTTGTGAATTAGTAGGTAATATCTTGGAATATCAATAAAAAATTCCCTTTATTAATGTAACTTTAACAATAATTCAGCAATATTAAATGTAAAATAAGTATTTAGTAAAATTATTAAATAAAATATAATAAACGCATTACTTTATTGTAGAATTGTAAAAATAATAATTCAAGATTATTGTTATTTACTATAAACTAACTTTTCGCCATTTCAAAATGACTCCAAATTTTTAAAACGATTTGATCTATTATTCCACGTAGGCCTATCGTTATATTTAAAGAATTTATCATATTTAATACAGGGTGATTCACAACTCAATGGACATAGAACAGGTGCTTGTAGAGAACACTAAAACAAGTGGATTTTTCATATGAATTTTTTGTGGGCAGGTATTGTTGGGCGATATTTGGTTGGTCCAGTTATTTTACCAAACCGCTTAAACGGCGCCACTTATTTGGATTTCTAACAAAATACTCTTCCCGAACTACTGGAAAATTTACCTTTACAATTACGCCGTGAAATGTGGTTTATGCACGATGGTGCACCTCCGCATTTCAGTATGGATGTTCAGGAATTTTAAGGCCAAAATTTTGACAGATCTGAATAATTAATTTTGAAATACTTTAGTGATTCCTCTTTAAAAAAGGT